AGGAAACTGGCAATAACAGCACAAGAGGAGCTTTGATATTAAAAGGTCCCCGCAAGTTCCCATGGCACGCCACATTATATACGCAGGCGAGAGCGCGGTGCGGAGGCTCTGCTGTGCCCGTGGTGTGTCCCAACACCGGATACACACCAAGACGCGCAATCCAGGCCAATTGTTCTTAACACCATTCACAATGCGGCCGGCGCACTTAAATTAATCTAAACGTGATTACCTCCTGCATCGAGAGGAAAGAGACAATGATTTACGCCAAACGGGGGTGCGCTTAATTAGCCCTCCTATATACAAATCATATCATACAAATCTAAAGTGAAGAAGATGAAGTTTAGTCTCAGTTATATATTGTATTTAATCACTTTTATTAGATAATTTTTCATTTAAAATGTAAAAATAAAATGTTTTAAGTAGAAATTTAAAACCTCATGAAACCACACAATACGGGAACTAATTAAATTAGTAACTTTTGACCAATTGCATTTACATATATATAATTATGTTCCGAGACACGACAAAAGTTACTAATTAAAGTAAAATAATGTGTTTATTTTTAACGATTTGCATTTAAATTTTCAATTTTTATTTGATTTTTATTTTGACAAAAATTAAAATAGACTAATTTCATTGTAAGATTTGATTAATTTAGAAATAATTTTATTATTAATTTAGAAAAAAAAATTTGTTCCTTTTTCTATTAATGATGTAAAGTATGCAACGCAACACACTGATTAATTAGTGAATTAAATAATTAATATTTCAAAAACTATTTTACCTTTTAAACTCTACATTCATTTATTTTTTTTCTCGATTAAATTTTTGAAATTTATCATTTAAATAGCGTTTAACGTCTTGCAAGAAGTCCGTTAACGGTTCAACTTCTTGAGCTTCTTATTCGCATCGGTTGGCATACAAAAGAAAAAAAATTGATGCAAGCTGAAGCTGGTTTTGCTCTGGCTTCTTATATTCCCGCGCCGCTTCCTTCTTCCGTTTTGACGCCTGAATGACATTATAAATAAAATGCAGCTAGCACGGTGAGCGCGGCTGTTGCTTTACGATCGGCCGAACGAAAAGTCCGTTGGCGTCTTCGAGATAAAAGAAAGAAAGAAAGAGCTCTAGGGAGGGCGAATGCCACATAGAATAGGGGTAGTTGCTCTCTCGGCGCATTCATATAGCGCGCGTTTAGTTCCTGCCTTCCGGTTTTTGCTGTTACCTTTTTATCTGGCTTGGCTCTTAACAAATCTTCAAGACGTTTTATTCTCCCGCCGCATTCAGCCCTGCTCTCCCCTCCCTATTTTATATATATTTTAATGTGAATTGCATTTTTTCTTGAAAAGAAAACCGTTAGGAATCAGAACTCAGCTCTTATGCGGAGAGCGCCGAGTTAGCGCGACCCCCTTGTAAGATTTTATGCCGTGCGCGGAGAGCAGAGAGCGTTATTTCTTTTCACACCCCGCGTCCGATCTCGAGGAAAAATCACTTTTGTGCAGAGTATTTAAATTTCGAGTTTCGGTTTTCAACTTTGCCGGGGCGGTTTTTTCCATGTACGAATGTAAATGCTGCTCTCTCGGTGGTGCGGTTGAACTTTGAGTTTGACTTTTCCACATTTGGCGCGCGCATAAAGCAGAGCAGCTCCAAGCGCAGCATCGCCTCAAGAAGATTTTTTTATTATTCACATGAGAATATACCTCTTGAGTGTGTTTTAATTTAACCCTTCACCATATATGTGTGTTCGCTGCCTTTCTTCTCTCGGCTCTTCTGTTATTATCATCAGCATCGTTTTTTTTCCTCGTATTATTATTCCCATAGAAAATTTTCTGCTCGCCCTTTTTTATTACAAAAGGGGTTGAATTATTGGCAAAATTTTAATCTTGATCCGAGTATTCCGAAAGAGAGGACGGGCGGATAACAATGCTGACTGGTGTGACGAGAGAAAGAGCTGGAAATATAACGCCTAGAGACATATAGCCCGAGATATATATAAAAAAACACACACACATATAAGAACCGCGGAAAGAGAGCGAGAGTGAGAACCGCCGAGTTTTCGAGCAGTGATCATTACGAGGTGCCAGATGGACTGTTAAATGCGCGGCGCGGCGATGTATTAATGTAATAAGAAAAGCTCACTAAAGGGGTAAAAAACAACACAGGCTGAGCACACAATAGACGTTTTGTCATTAAGTATCGCCGGAGAGAGCAGAAAGAATATCATTTCGATGGGAATAAAACATATACGTGGAAAAAGAAGGGGAAACGCGAAAAATGATTAATGTTCTTCTCATTGTGTGACGCGCCGAGAGTAAAATGAAAATTGCGTATATATGTGGGTAAATATGGCAATGTATATAATAATTTCTTCCATCGTTCTCTCTTTATAATAAAACTCCAATCATCAATCAAAATCAATTTTATTGATATGGTTTATTGAAAGCATCAAAGATTGATTAAAATTTCTTCTTTCTTTAACTTGAGATAACGGCTTTCTATATTTGAGAGAATGGAAATTAAATTATTTGATCTGGATATTATTTAAAATTTTAATTTAATTATAGATGATTTTATTTCGGTTAAATGATAAAATATGATAAATAATAATATTAAATGAAAAAAAAAATTAAAAAAATTACAATAATAAATATTTGAGTAATTCACTCTCAATTAATTTATTATTAATTGTAAAGAAAAAAAATTAAAATATGAAGATTTTTAATTTTGAGATTTTATTGCTCTTGATATGCAACTCATGAGCATTTTGTTTTGCCGTCGGCGTAAAGTTTTTCGTGCAGAAAAATCCGAATAAGTACTTGCCAATTTGCGTGCGCGCGGCGTTGGCGAAATAAAAGCAGCGCATCAGAGCGGAATGTCGTGGTGCTTTTTTCTGTGCGTGTGCATGTCTCATCCCTCTCTGCATGTCTCTCGCATACACATATTTTTTCGGTTTCGAGAGGAAAGGGTTTAATTTGCGCGAGCCTTAATGAATAAGGCTTTTGTGACTCTTTCGTCGCTCATGCGGCGCATCACATATTGTGAATATCTTTGGCTCAAGGCTCTGGCGCGCGCGGCATGTCATTCACCAGTTGCTTGATAATAATAATGTGTACGCACACATGCGGCATACGCAAGAGTGAAGTGCGTATGTGTGATATGTTGTGCGAGTATAAAAAGGCAGCGAGAGCGAAAAAGTTAAATTCGCCTCAAGTAATTTGGGGTGGTGCTGTGTGTGTGGTGCGCTGTAAACTCTCTCTCTCTCTTTTCTCTTTGCTCACAAAACGCGCAGCATGTGACATATGCAGGCGCCTCCTTATTATTCTCGCACTTATTTTCTTGTTGTGTTGTTCCGTGACAGCAGCAGTCGTGACTTGGGAAAAAGAGAGCATGATGATTAATAAATTTTCCCCGCCGTTCTCTTTCTCTCTGTTTCGCATTTTCGAAAACAAAAGCGCGCATGAAATGACTTATTATCAGCGACAGCCCACGATACAATGAAGCAACATTGTGCGCGTGGTGTTCTTGCAATTACTGCTGCACCACGCCGCCGAGATGTACAATCCCATTGAAAAGAAAAGACAAAAAAAAAAAACATGTCACACGCATATATGCACGGAGGGGGCGTTGAGTATATTTTTTTTAATATGCTTTTTTCTCTGATAAAAAGTGCGTAATCAGAGAAGGAGAAATTTCCAATCAATCACGACGGAAGACTCTCCGAGTCGTTTAATTTGTAATTCGAGAAATGGGCCGCCGCCGACCTACCATAATGCAAAAAACTGCTGCTCTCATCCCCCCTATTATGTAATATTATTGACAGAGGGTCGTTCGCTCTCTGTTTCTCATTTCGAGCGTCCCCGATAAGATGATGGATTTAGCTAGCCGGCCTTGAAAGCGGCGTGAAACTAAAAAGTGATTGATCATGCCAAGAGGGTGAGTGGGCGACGCGAGCAGGGGGTGGCTCGCTATACTCGCTCTCTCTCGGCTGCTGGTGATTCGCACGCCAAATCTACACTTCCGCTCCTGCATCTAATACGAAAGTGAATAAAAAAATACACATTCGTGACTCATCTGGCAAAATATACATCAAAATCGAATTAGAAAAAAAAATTACGACGAGTAATAAACCCTGACTTCTTCATTTCCATGATCCTCGTTTGTCAACTTCTTCAAACAAATAAAAATTTTTGAATTTAAAATCGGCTCTTTTGTGAGTTGTTTATTGTTTGAGAAAAAACAATATTCCTGCTCTACATGTTTTTGCTGCAGCCCTTATTCATGAGCTGTGAAATAATTTTGACAAGAATTAGTACAAAAATCAATCTTTTAAAAATATATGCTTGCAAAGTAATAATTTTTTGTGAAAAATTAGTCAAAGTTAACATATTTACACAAAACAATTTTTCACACATATTTTGAATACAGAATTAATTGTTAAAAGAATTTCGAATTCAATTGTAAAGTTTTGTGTTAAAGGTTATTGTGTGTTCAATTGTTACTTTGAAAGAAAAATATTTTTAAAAGATTGATTTTGTTTTTAACTTTCGTCAAAATGATTTCACAGCTCATGAATTATGTTTTTTTTTTCTTAAATAATAAGCAATTCACAAAAGCCATCAAGGAATAGCCGATTTTAAATTCAATTTCATGATAGTGAAATTCTACCATAATAATAAAATAATTCTGGAAAAATCGATGCTTTTCCGGTTGGCGATTGCAAGCGTTGAAATTCCTGAACTCGAATTTGATGAGCATTCAACAGTTGCCGAATTTATTGTGGAGCAACAGATTTTAATTGTAGATAATTATGCATGCGGCTTATCACGCGCTTCCGATTCGACTCCCCCCAAATAAAAGCTGCAGGCGCAACAAGAGAAATCTCGCAGTAATAAATTTGAATTTTATTTTTATTTTTGGTGAATATCGCGGCCGGCTCGGCCAGCGACTCGCACGTTTGCGTTTATTTAATTTCAACGTGTTCACCTTGTTATTTATATTTACAGGAGCAGCAGCTAGCGGAATAAAGGAGCAGCGATCCGTGGAGAGAGCGAAAGGAAGTAGTTCATACGGCACAGCCGCTCGCACACGCAGCAGCGCGCCGTGTATCCCTCCCTAAGCAGCTGACCTCCCCCTTCGGTTCCCCACTTATTCTTACCAACAATAGGAACGAAATTATAATTCAGACACACACAGCATTGGAGTGGGAAGGTGGAAAAAAATTGGCTCGTCCAATCGGAGGCGAGTTTCTCTATGATGTCATCAGAAGAGGAGAGTTCTGAATGCTTTGGTTTGTACGGTGAAAAACTTCTGAAGAAGGCCAAGCGTACCAGACAGCGTGTAGACGCCGGCGAGCCGCGCAACAGCTACTCGTCGATCCCGAATTTCAGTTCGCGTCCCAGTTTCATGAGTGCCGGCGGAATATACGGCGCTATCTTCAGCCCGCAGCAGCAGCAGCAGTTCAGCGGGCTCTTCGGCCCGCACGGTTCGCCGCCGCCGCCCGCGAGCACCACGGCCAACAGCAGCAGCGGCTCCGGCTTCGCGCCCTCCAAAATGCTCAACGAACTGCTCGGCCGGCAGATGAAAGCGGCCGACGCCGCCGTCGGAGCCGAGTGTCTGATGGGCAGCGCCGTCGACGCCGAGACCAGCAGCAAGGTCAACGGCGGCGCCAACTTCGACATGGACCAGGCCGCCGGCAACGACAACATGCTGCGCGAGATCCTGCAGGGCCGCAAAAAGGAGATCCTGGCCCTGGAGCAGGAGCTGCGCGCCGCGTCCGAGGCGGCCACCTTTTCTCCCACCAACAACAACAACAACGAGATCAAATCGGACCAGCAGACAGGTGGGGCCGCCGACGAGGTGGGTGGCGCCTCAACAGGAAGCGCGGCCAACTCGCCAGGGCCGGTGCCGCACGCCTCCGCAGGCGACGACCGAGAGGCGAGTGACGAGGACGACGACGACATGAGCGACGCCGACGAGGCCAAGAGCAAAATGCACAAGGACTCGGACTCGTTCCACTCGGACTCGTCCAACAACTCGAAAGACGACTGCCTGGACGCCGAGAGCAAGGACAAGGCGGCCAGCAGCAGCACCAGCGAGATGAAGAGGGCGCGCGTGGAGAACATTGTGTCGTCGATGCGCGCCTCGCCCTCGCTGCCCGTGCAGGTGAACGGCTGCAAGAAACGCAAGTTGTACCACCCGCAGCAGCACGACAGCACCAGGTACGGACAGGCGTCGGCGGCCAGCGTCGCCGACGACGACGTCGACGACGACGCCCCGCCGGTGCTCAAGCAGAAGCGCGTGGAGAAGGACGCGCTCAAGTCGCAATTGCGCACCATGCAGGAGCAGTTGGCCGAGATGCAGCAAAAGTACGCCCAGCTGTGCAACCGGATGGAAATGGAGTCGGACTGCCAGGACGACAACACCGGCGACCTCGAGATGCCGACGCCGCACTCGGAACCCGAAACGGTAAAAGAAATAATTTCTGATAAGGTTAAGGCGGCGCCGGTAGCGGCGCCGCCGGTAGTCGTAGCTCCTGGTGGCGGTGGTCCCCCCTTTGCACCTCAACAACACACTCATGCCGCTCCTCCTCCGATGCAGAATCCGGCCGCAGCCGCCGCAGCAGCAGCAGCCGCCATGTACCTGGGGGTGGGCCACAAGATGTTCCTGGAGCAGGAGGCGCAGCGGCTCAAGGAGGCCGCCGAGCACCACCACCACCAACAGCAGCAGCAGCAGCAACAACAACAACAGCAGCAGCACCACCAGCAGCAGCTGCAGCAGCAGGCGCCGCAGCCTCCGCAGCAGCAGCCGCCGATGCCGCCCCCGCAGCCGCACCACCACCCGTGCGTGCCGCCTCCGCCGCCCCACCACCACGGCCACCCGCACCCGTCGTCGCACCAGCTGGCCGTGGCGGCCGCCGCCGCGGCCAAGAACGCGGAGCTGCAGGAACGGTTTCCGTTCTTCCGCAGCCCGCCGATGGCCTCGGACGTGGAGGGCCTGGCCGAGATGCTCAAGTCGGAGATCAGCGCGTCGCTGAACCTGCTGATCGACTCGATCATGGGTCGGTTCGCGCAGCAGCGCCGCTTCCTCACCGGCGCCAACAAACAGCAGGCCGAGGAGCAGCTCAACAAGGACCTCTTGCTGGCCTCGCAGCTGCTGGACCGGAAGTCGCCGCGCACCAAGGTAATTGATCGCGGCGCCAATAATCCGCCCCCAGGCGCACTCGCCGCCGCCGGCCCTTCGGGGTCGGGAAACGGGCTAGGCTGTGGCAGTATCGGAACGCGAGTAAACGGTACTGCCTTCCCAATCAACCTCGTGGCAAGTTCCACCCCTTCTTCCACCCCTTCTAACCCCGCAGACATGCGACCCCCAGTAAACACGTCTTCGTCCTTCCAGCCCCAGAAATCATCCGCAGCAGCCATGCCCGTCGCCATCAACGGAGCCTCGTCCGCTCTGTACCCGATGAGGCCACTCGCGGGCCCCTTCGACCAGCGGGTCACCCCGTCGCCGACGTCGCACCACCACCAGCACCACCACCACCACCAGCAACAGCACCACCAGCCCATGCAGCAGCAGCAGCAGCACCGGCCCTCCGAGCTGGACATGCCCGAGCAGAACGAGGCCATCAGCCTGGTGGTGACCACCAAGAAGAAGCGCCATAAGGTCACCGACACGCGCATCACGCCGCGCACGGTGTCGCGCATCCTGTCGCAGGAGGCGCCGCCGGGCACGCCGAGCAGCACCGGCGCCACCACGCCGGTGCCGAGCGGCGTCGCCGCCATGATGGACCCCAAGTACGGCCTGGTGCCGTCGACGAGCGCGAGCACCCTGAGCAGCAACAGCCCCTCGCCGCGGCCGTACCACCCGCCGCCGCCGCCCATGCTGCCCGTCTCGCTGCCCACCTCCGTGGCCATCCCCAACCCCAGCCTGCACGAGTCGCAGGTCTTCTCGCCCTACAGCCCCTTCTACGGCCAGCACCAGTCGTCGTCGCCGCCCGACCGCCGCGACGCCGAGTCTCCGCTGCCGCACCCGCCCTCGCTCCTCCACCCCGCCCTGCTCGCCGCCCACGGCACCCCCGACTACGGCCGCCTCGCCGCCGGACCCAACTCGGCCTCCCAGGCCGACGACCGCGGCCTCGACCAGGCCGACAGCCCCTTCGACGGAATGCAGCCTCCGCTCTCCTTCTCCAACTCACGGTGAGTGACAAAAAAAATTTAAAATTTTCAATCCTCTCCAATCTCTTTCCATTAAGTATGTAGTATTTTTTTTTATATTTTATTTTTTCCCGGATTTGGTTTAAAGTTTTTTAATTATTTCAGATTAATGATGAGGTAAAATTTTATATTTTTTAAATTACAATTCATATTTTAAATAATGGATCAAACTCAGCTAATTATATTTAATTAATCTTTTCCCATTATGGCATGTTATCATAACTTTTATATAGAGCTTTACTAAAATTTTCTGACAACTTCAGTTTCTCTTTTCTTTTGTCTTATTACTATATTTTTTCAAATTATTCAATAATTCATTTTTGGTCTTATTAAAAATGGTTAAATAATTAAATTTATTCCAAATATTTTAAAAAATGTCTCTTCGTATAGCTCATTATTCAATTAGATATAACCCTTTTTATTTGTATATTTTTTTACACCATTTTTTTTCTCGCGTGCCATTTGCAAATCTGGTGCGAAGAACGAATGGTTGCGGTGACGTGTGCCATCGCATGTCTTTTTCTCGCACTTCAGCCGCGCGCGCGGCGGCGGCGCCGATTTATAATCGGCGCGTCGCGCGGGGCTTCGCCAATAAGAATTGAATTAGAAACCCTAGCTGTTCATTTTGAGATATCATTTTTATTACGCCAGATACCATACAAAGGGTCTTTGTTTGTCTTTATATGCGAAAACACAGCAGCAAAGCTACCAAAGCTCTGCCCTATTAGTAGTATTATCGTTTCTTATTTGGGGCGCCAAAGTGCAAGCGAAGCAGCCAAATATTTTTGTTGCCCGACCACCGAGAAACCCTTTAATTAGATTATATTACAACAAAAGCCATGCTCTCCTCCTAATCTGATTTGCCTTTTGCATCCGAGAACACGCGCAAAATAAAATTTATTTATGCGAACAATGTTCGTTCTTACAAAACATGTTAATTATTATTTTTTTAATAAACACTTTTAGTTTTTCTATTAATTTAATTTATTTGAGAAGAAAAAATTGTTGGGCAAAACGGCAACAACAATTCTTTTCTTGAAAACATTTTATTCCAAAAGAAAATGAATTGTTAGTGCCGAATTTTCCAAATAAATTGTTTTCAACAATTGAGTGTAAACAATGTGAAATAATTTGAATAAATAAACAATAAAAACATAAATAATAATTAATTTTCCAAACTACTTAAGCAACATTAAATTATTCAACCATTGTCAGATAGAACAAAAATAAAATATTATGACTAAATATTTAATACAATTTTTAACATTATTTTTAAATTAAAATTGAATGTTAAATGAATCAAAAAATTTGAATAACTTTATTTAAAATTGATATTTTCCTAATTAAATTGATCCACAATGTAAATTGAATTGAAATGTAAATTTTATAGTTTTTATTTTCTATAAATATTTATTTATTTTTCCAAAGCATGGCCATTAATTAATCTTCCCTTGTAACTTTTGATGAAAATTTCTTGTATTGGTAGCCAGTAGCGGTTGTTTTTGACGTGTCTCTTTGCATACTGTCCTAATAGTTGGTTCCCGTGTCCTACCAGACTCACATCGCCGGTGCGCGACTCGGGCAAGAAGTCGATTCGCGACTACCTGAGTCTGCTCAAGCAGGACAGCCTCGGCTCGCTGTCCGAGCCGTTCTCCTCCACCCTGACCCCGATGCACCTGCGCAAGGCCAAGCTCATGTTCTTCTGGGTGCGCTACCCGAGCTCGGCGGTGCTCAAGATGTACTTCCCCGACATCAAGTTTAACAAGAACAACACCGCGCAGCTCGTCAAATGGTTCTCCAACTTTAGGTGAGTGTGTCGAATTTTCCTCCTTCTTCCTTTTTATTTTTTTTTTTTTTTGCACATATTTCGCTCGGCCGTTGTTTCGCTCGCGAGCCGCCGGCGTGCAATCGCCAGAAGTTTGAATTATTTTTACTCGAGTGCAAAGCTCATTTTAATGAGAAAAATTTCCACGTTCAAATACGGTGGCGCGCGCAGAGTCAAGTTTCGCCTCCGCCTGCTCTCTCAGCAGCCCTCTTGAGCCGCAAGGGCAGTTTTTATGCTCGCTGAGGGTAATATACGCAAACTTTTTTCCGTGCACGGACAAATGAGCATTCGAAAAGCATAATCCTGTAAAGTAGGCAACCGGGCCTTTGTGCTCCGTATAATTACCGTCTTAATTAGCGCTTCCTAATTGCCGGCTGCGACGGTAAAAAAAAACACACACACGTGAATTTTAATTTTTTTTTCACCCTTTCTTTTCTTCCGCTTTTTTTGTCGCGCGCGGCGCAGCGGAAAAGCAATCCGAGGCTTTCAGCTTTTTGTTTTTGATTAAGTAAGATTTGATGGAAGTGCTCGCGACGTGTTGTGTTGTTTTTTTGCTTTTTTTTTTTTTTTTATTTTCGCGCGCGCAATATCACATTCACACTTCGCGTCTTGCCGCTGAAGGTCCCGCGGGGCCCGAGCGTGCAGGCGCGAGCAAATCCCTGTTTGCTCCTTCGAGAACGCCGCGCATTGTCTCGCGACGTGTTAGTATGTACGGATTTTTTAATGATATTCGGGAAAAAAAATATCACGCTGAAACCTCTCGAGAGCGACAGCGCATCTCTCTCTCATTCGAATGACGCCTGGATTTATATTATGCTTCAATTCCTTGGCGGGATAAGTATTAAAAAAAAAAAAACGTACGCTCTCTCGCAGAACGAGATGAGTTTAGAGCATTAATTGAAACAAGCTGCAGCCAACAAGTCGTGCGGTATGAGAGAGAATAATGTTGTGTACGCGCGAAGAGGGACGCGGCCGCGGCCGAGCACACCTGGTCGACGCCGCCAAGGGGGAAAAGGGCAGGTGATAACGGTAACGCGGCGTCGCACCACGCCTTGCTGAGGGTGCGATTATGCGGCGACGAGCAGCCTCTATTAAGACTCAAGAGCCAAATTACTCTTTTGCTTTCAAGCAAACATGTTTATTTTTATTATATTTTAAAAAACGTTTTACTTGATATTTTTGCAAATAATCTGTTTGAATAATATTTAAATTTTTTATTATTTTGTATATAACTTTAAACTATTTTTGAAATTTTATTGAAATCCAATCAATTGAACAAAAAAACAAATAATTTATTTTATTTGTTTAACTATTATTTGAATTTTTTATAAATGATTTGATTTTATTTTCAATTAATTTAATTTTGTACAAAATTTAAATAAAAACAAAATACTAATTTATATTTTTAACAATAACCCTTTTTTAATAGTAACAATTAAATTTTATTTATATATTGAATAATACATTTTTAACTCGTTATAATTTATTAAATTTTATTGAAATATTTTAATTTCCAATTAAAAAGAAAACAATTAATTTATTTGCTTATCTATATATTATCTCATTTTTTTTCATTGTTTTTTATTTTTCATTTTTTTTTTTGAAAATTATCCCTCTAAATATTATTGAAATTTTATTTATTTCGAATAATGTATTTATTTTTTTGTGCTCAATTTATTTTGTAATGAATTTTTTATAATTTTTTTCCATAAATAAAATTCGGTTTTCTTGTTAATTCGAATTTGATGCTCCGCTCGATTAGTTCCTTTAAATTATCTCACCTCCCCTGCCAAACGTTGAAATTGCTTCATTTTTTTTCGCCCTTGCTTGGTGGTTCGAGCGGGCCATCTGCCCTGCACGCAGCCAAGCCCATATGGCACAGCATAATATTTTACAGCAATAAAGATAGCACTCGCTTGCTCGCTCGCTTTTTTCCGCGAATGCTCTCTCAGACTTGTACGCCAACTTTCTTTGCGGCAAACGGATGGACGGGTTTGCAGAGATCGATAGTTGAAAAATTCCTCTCCACACGCGGCGGACGTACGGACGGACGGACGGGCGTGTGTATTTTTAAAAAACTTGGCTCTTGACTCTCGCCATTTTCATTCCAGTTCTTCTTCCCCCGATTGATTTTGCTAACTTTTCTGCGCGCTTTTTGTTCTCAGGGAGTTCTACTACATCCAGATGGAAAAGTACGCCCGTCAGGCCATCACCGAGGGTGTCAAGAGCGCCGAGGAGATCCACGTGGCCCTCGACTCGGAGATCTACCGAGTGCTCAACCTGCACTACAACCGCAACAACCACATTGAGGTATGGGGACCTCAGGTGCGCATTTCACTCCACCCATATCGTACAATATTTAAATGTGCTTGTCCCCCTTTAATCTTAATTTTTTTGTTTTAAATTTATGTTTTCAAAGAGTTTTAGAAAAAAAAGTCCACTTTAGTGTTGTCTTGGAATTAAAAAAATTACTATAGAACGTTTTTAAAGAGAAATAATACTTTGGTGGAGTTTTTGACATGCGCAGCATGATGGTAGTTTAAAGTCTTAATTTACGTAGTTATACCCGCCCGCTTTACATGTGTGCCCTGCAAGTTGCATAAGCAGTCGGGCGTTCAGATGGCAGTTTTTTTTTATAATAATCCGAAATCTAAAATTTAAAATTATTTTTTATATTTTGATCAATTTTTGATCAGGTTGCTGGAATTTTTCCGAAAGTTTTCGGCGAGCCTGAGCTTAGTCGTTTCAAATCGCCCCAATTACTTGATCACGGGCTCGGCGCGGCAAAGAAACAAAACCCTTTTCGTGGTATTTCGTCTCTCTTAATCCCTCGTTTATCGCAAAGAGGGCGCAATTTGCACAGCAAGCGTTTTTCCCCGCTCGCTCGCTCGTTCGCGGTAATTAATTAATCTCGTTAGCCGTGCGTAGACGTCAGAGTAAAGAGAGCGAGAAAAAAAATCGTTGACTCGGCTGCCATCTCGCCCGATTGCCGGCAACTCTTTCCTCCCGCAACACCGCGAGGCGCGCGAAAACACAGTGACTCATTTTTGTCTCTCGACTGCACAGGTTCCTTCCAACTTCCGGTTCGTCATCGAGCAGACGTTGCGAGAGTTCTTCAAGGCCATCCAGACGGGCAAGGACGCCGAGCAGTCGTGGAAAAAGTCCATCTACAAAGTCATCTCGCGGCTCGACGACGCCGTGCCCGAGTACTTCAAGTCGCCCAACTTCCTCGAGCAGCTCGAGTAAATAATGTACATTTTTGAGGAGAAACATGCAACCATTGATCTCTCACACAATAAGCATATCCTAATTGTTAAGGGGGGCCCCCGAGCGGCAACAAAACTGACCCCGCGAAACAGTTCGCCGCCCCCCGGTCTTGCTCTTGTAAATAGAATCTCTCTCACACACACACACTACACGCATTCCGAAAGGGCTGCTTTCGGACACTGGAAAAAAACACACACAAATCATCATCTATATGCGTCGGATTTTAATCTGAGTAAGAATACACGCGGCCTGAAAGGCCCAGTTTCTCTTTGTAGTTGAGCAGTTTAGAGGACGTGAAAGAAAGAAAGAAATTGATTAATTATGTTGTTGAATGTAGCGGCTAAATTTAAATGTCAATCTGCTGTCTTTCCTATATATATTTGCGAGAATCGTCACTCATACTTAATTATGGAAAAGTCTTTAGGAGTTAAAGAAATTTCATGTGCTGGTCGTGTCAAAGGATAAATTATAAATTTAGCAAATCGGGCGTTGCCTGTTTGAATAAAAAGCAGTGTGCATTGTAAAAAGTTTAATCAACGGACGCGGTCCCACTTTTGCTGACATTTCTCTCTTTCTCTCTCTCTTAATCTTGGGTGTGTTAAAATGAAATACTTTTTGTCGTGTTTATTATGGAAATGAAAAGAATATTTAATGACAAATTAAAATGAGAGTATTTAACTTTAGATGAAAGAGTACAAGAAAAATTTATTTAACAAGCGAATCGCATTAAAATAGACAAGCAAGAAAACCTGCTCAAGTTTTTTGATCCAGACATGAAACTCGCATTTGAATATCAATAATCACGACTATTGTAAAGGTGGTAGGTGTTGATTATTATTATTACACACACACTGAGTAAGCGTAAATTAAAAACTAACCACTGGGTATGATCTGGAGACCAACGAACATTTGAGTAAATGAATGAAAGTGATGATATATAGAAATTAACTTAAAAAGAGTGCAGCAGAGTGAACAAATAATGGATTGAAAAAAAGTTTAAATTTCTCTGTCTAATGTATTTAATGAATATATTTAAAAAAGACGAAAAATTATACTTAGCGCCTCAGTTTGTAAATATTGAGAAAATTATAAAATTATATTATCGGAAAATTAGCGAGGATGCACTTGATTTGTCGGTCAATGGAGTTGGCATTTTAGAACAAAAAGACGAAAGAAAAAAATTATAAGAACCAAAGTGTCCTTTTTCGACTGCTAAAATTTTTAAAAAAAGAAAAGCTACCAAAACTGCTAATGACGATGATGAGGATGATGATGGACTATTGTTATAATTTTTACTTACATAATAATTTATATCAACATGCGATAATCTTATGGGTTTTTGTCCACCACTGATCAATTGATTTTGTTTCAATGTAAATCTAGTCACTTATCGAGGCGGTTTTTATATTCTTCTCATTTTTCAACATACATTGTCTGTCCATGAACAAGCTGCATGTATAAAAAGTATAATCTTACGCATAACAAAAAGACGCAATGACTATTGATGATGATGATGAAAAGATAATGACGACTAAAAGTTGAAGCAATACAAGGTCTGTCTGTTGTTGGACTCGATCAATCACAAACACACGCACGCGTTAGATTCTTGTATGCTTTGATTTTTCTCACTCTCACACACACACGCATACAAACATACCAAAAACTCAGACATTAATATATTGATATACCAAAGCTAGTGGCTCGCGCCGTCGTCCGACTCTTTTCCCAGCAGTACGGGGGCTGCGAAAAACACGGAAATGAGTCGCACCGCGGCCGCCGCTCTCTCGCTCACCACGAAATCGATCATTTTCCCAATAACGAAATGACGAGACTCAAAATACAACACCCGCACTCCGACTTGATTCGTTGTGTAAGACGTATAAAAAAAATAATAAAACAAGCGCGTGAACCAAACCGTATATATATTTATGTAGTTATGAGAAGACGCGGCCCGCACTTAATGCGCGCCGCGTCCAAATCACACACTTGCATATAGTACGAGCAAAATTTCACTCGCAAACAAACAAACAAATGAAAACATCTCTCGAAACCAAACAAACAAACAAACACATAGCATACTAATTTATAACGATTAAGTAATAAAAATAGCCGTGTTACACATTATCTCTCTTTCTCTCGCTATAATATTACAAATAACTGTATTAACAGTCGTAAGCCAGTGTTGTTTAATTATCAATTGAATTGATTATTGAATTGATTCTGAAAGACTGGATGTTCTCTGTTTTTTGGAATTACTCGGTTATTAGGCGCGAGCTCTGACACGCAACTCATATTCCCCAGACACACAATGTTAATTATTGATTGTGACTGCTGTTATATTTCCCCTAGGAGATAACGAGAAACTGTACCACCCTGTAATTTGATTAATTTCCATCTTGTTCAGATATAATATAATGGTGGAGGCGCTTTCGATTTTGGAACTTGGATGGAGAAATTTTCGGCGAGAATTCCGTCTCGCCTATTATTTCTCTGTTCTTGTATTACACACATATTTGGAGTCGTTCCAGTCGTCAGCTGCAATATTAAAAGAAAATAAAAAACGAACACTTTATACACGCATACATAAAAATACACACACTCGTTATGCTTTTCACTCTCACACTTTTCGTCCCCGCGACATCGATTCTCTCTCTTGTTTTCGAGAAGAAATAATAAATCAATATTTCTAACGTAGTTCAAGAATTATAAATAATACCGGTCGGATTTTGGTTTTTTATTCTTTCCGCGCTACTTTCGTTCAAACATGGTGCAAAACTTTTGGATTTTTACAAATTCCTCGCATCAAAATCGCAAACACGCCCGTTGAGTTCAGCATCTTTTGAGACGCTCCCCCCGCAGTTATTACATCAAAAGTGAATCTAAAAGGTCGTAAGTACAACTTAGAGGTACTTAAGAGAGGATTATTTTCCATTTTGACACACGAAAGAGCACCTTTTGCGCCTTATAAATGTATGTAACCAAAATCTGCCTTAAATTATTCTATTATATATTTTCGTATAGAGTGAAGTAAAAAACAAACAAAAAAAACAAAGAAGTGTAATAAATTTAAAAAGAAACAAAAGAGAGCGATTTATTCAACTCACAAACACACACAAAAATTAAATGCTTATCGTAAAGAGAAAAAAAATTCAACAACTAAAAGTGAAAGAGAGCAGACGCAAAAAATCTAAAAAATACACTTTTCGGAACAAAACAAATTTCGGACTCTGAATGAGAAAAAAAAATTGAGTTTTTGCTTTCTCTCTCGTTTGGTTTCTCTCCTTATGATTTTAATCACAAACACACACTACTATACTCTGTATAATTTCCAAACACCGCCACTACCATAATATAAAAACAAACAAACACTGAAGTGAACAACAACAACAACAACGGAACAACGCGCTGACTGTCAAAATTATTTGCTTGACCACCATTATTGTTAATCTCTCTTTCTCTCTGTCGAACTTTATAATTTGCCAGTCGTTTCCTCCACGTGAGACTCGAGAATAGACCGATTGATTATACCCCCCACGTCCCTGACGCTGAAATATAATAAGAAAATTCACAAACTCACACACAAACAAATACAAAACTCACTCACAAAAACATACACGGAATAAAATTCTCATCTAGTCCACATGATGAAATTGATGATAGTCATTCTTTTCTTGGGTGTACAGTGTAGCTTATTCATGTAAGAATGTTTATTGTCGTTGTGCAGGAATTAATAAGACAAAAATGAGCGTTTTATCGCATTAACCGATTCGAACGAGACGGAGCCCTCGTTGAAATCATATATGTTGAATTATTACTATATTATTATAATTGTCTCACATCTTGTAAATCCTAATTTTATATGTAACCCTTGCACCTTTTATATATTTTTAATCTCTCACACTTCGCTCGATTATTGTATTTTGGTGCTGTACCGCCGAAATATGCTATTATATACTTTTTCGTTTGATATTCCAATACATTTTGTTTGTTGCACAAGCACACACGCAAAAAAAGAAGAAACAAGTCGTTATTATTTACTCGTTTTATTTCCTTTAGTTTTAAGAACTTTTTCAAAGAAGAGCCGAACAGCGCCGAGTGCTATCAATTTTTGCGACGTACTTAAACTCACGACAGGCGAGATCCACCAGAAACCAACCACCGAGCACTGCAGTTGAACAATAGAACCAGCCGATTAATGACGCAATTGATCACTTCAAAAGACTCTTTTGACAACAGGCACCACATTTTTATACCCGAACCAACTCGAATAAAAATCGTCGATCCACCCACAGATCAAAAAGGCAGCAATGGGCTCATTTTTGAACGTCCGACTCAAAGTGCCTTCCAAAACGATCATGTTTGATTATTTTCAAAAGTAACAAATTGGGCCCTTCCATAGAACCGTAAACTCCACAACCAAAAGCACTCGGCGCCGTTCGACCCTCGTAGCGAAATTTAAGCAAAAAGCTCCGCTCCTGTCACGTTAAATAGAAAAAAAACGCTGCTGTACCACATTATTGAAAAAAAAGATGTTCGTGTTACCGATTTACACATACGAGAAAAGTATAAAAAAAAAACGAGAGTAATTTAAGAATAAGAGGAAAAATGAAGAAAGAAAAGCCTTCGCGTCCGCGCGGAGCCAAAAAGAAATGAGCAAGATTTGTTGAGAAAACGGATTCAAGAAATTTGACGAGCGTTTTCCTTCTTTTGTTATACTTTGTAATATGAACAGGCAATTAATTAATTATTACTGTATTGCATCATTATTCTAATAGTAATGATAGTTTGTAGTCTATGATGAAATAAAAACGGCAAGTATGCGAAGAAAAAAAAATTCCTTCTTGTTTCACTTTTTTTTTCAACATCCTTCTCTCTTGGCAACAAATTATCGCGCACAGCGCCTTATTATCACTTTGCTTTTTATCTCTCATTACTGGCCGGTCGAGGCCGTAATCTCGCTCTTTGCAATACACCAAGTAACTCAATATTGACGCAGTACTATGTAAGTAGGGGAACCAGATGATAAATGCAGCGACTGTCGGCCTACGGATAGGATGTTGCACTTCCTACATCATGAGTCAATGAGCCAGTGAATGCTGTTTCAAGTTTCCACAATGAACATCAGAGATGTTGAAATTATTGTTAATTTTTCAAATGGTATTAAACAACACATATTTTTATGTAGATATGAAAAGTTTAGGTTAAAATTTAAAAAAAAAATATAAATGATAGAAAACTTTCAATTGAAAAAAAAATTTTTTTTTTAAATTATTTATTTTTAAAATTTAAAATTCCCCAGACGAAAAAATAATTTTTCTAAATTAAAATTACACACAAATAAAACATAAAAATTTTAATATAAATTAATAGTTTATATAAATTTTTTATTTTTAAATTTTATTTTATCCCAAAAAATTAATTTTTTTACAAATTGGTTATTTAGATTAACTCTGCCCAAAATTAACATAAAAATTGAAACCAGGCAATAATCCTCGTTGCAAAGAAGATAAAATAAAGGACAACTGGCCTCAATAGGCGAAGTGCGGACTGCTGGTACTTAAAAAACCTAGGGTTTGTGTCATGACTCATGTCCAAACTAAAACTGAGGAATTTAAAGAGAAATTAAAATTAATTTTATCCCAAATAAAAAAAAAACATCTAACGATATCTATTGGCCGGAACACGATTTTTTTTTATTAAGCAAAATAAGCGCTCATTAATAATTGATTTTCCAGGACTTTATAAACTTGAGCGCTTTGATCACATCTTGCGGAACAACTTGAAATTCAGGAATTCCAACCAACGTAATAAGCATAAGCGATACATGCAGATGATAAACTTAATAGGCAACACAACTAGAAGAGCGAAATTTGTTCCTTTCAATCATGCCAAGTCGTTGGTGGGCCGAGCAGACGACGGACCGCGCCCAATGTCACTCGATTAACCGGCTTTCTTTGAAAATTTGTTTGACCAATCCATAGAAATTCGATGCTAAAGGCGTGAGAAAGCAGTCCTGAAAGAAATTATTTCGGTGGTCGACACGAAGGAAGGAACTGTCAGGTTTGTTTTAATATCAGAACGTATGCAACCTGCAACGCATGCATGAGAAGCGGGACACGTACTTTGAGGTCTACACAAGAAACAACGAGGGAATTATTTTTAAAATTAAAAAAATAATTATAATTGGTGTACATTTTACTTCATAATTATTGGGCGGTATTCTCTTGACTTATTTATTCCGGTTTAAATGCTATGGATAAATTTTAACCCACTGGGCACTGGGAGACAGCAAATGACCATATTTAAGCTGAAATCAAGGCTAAAACCAGTAAAAACCCTCTACCTATGCCATTGCTAAAGACGAGCCAATAAACTAAAGTCAAAACAAAGTGACAAGAGAAGACAAAGCCAGAGGTAAATCCAAAACCAAAGGGCGCACGAAAGCTAATAACATATTTTTTTTTCTATTTTTTTTTCTTTTTTCTTGAAGCCTGCAAATGTCAAAATTGTATTTGAAAAATAGGCTCAAGCTATTCGCGGGGCAAAGTTAGTCAAAACTGGCAATGATGTAGTTAACAATCAATACTTTTTTTAGAGGAAAATAATTAAAAAAAAAAAAAAATATTTTGCACTTTTTTAACCCTTTCATATTTCTATATAAAAAACAGTCTCGGTTCGATCGATGAAACCATCACCATTCGTTTTCACGGGGCAAAGTTAGTCAAAACCGTCAATCATATAGTTTACAATCAATATTGTTTTTTATAGGAAAATAATTTATAAAATATAAAAATTAATTTTTTTGTACTAGTATAAGAAACCAGAAAAAAGATCAAACTTTGGTCAATATTCCTGCAATTAGATCAATCGTTGACCTTTATTCACCGCTCACCAATGACCGCTCAACGTCTCCGCTAACCACTCAGCCTTTCATCGCTGACCGCTCAAATAAGCAATTTTTTCAATTATTTATAAGTTTTCATTTTTTTATTGGAAATTATTTAAAATTTAAATAATAAAATTATGAATAATTATTATTTTAACATCAATCAATTGAATAAATATTTATGGTGCTAAGTTCGATTGAAATACTAATTTTTTATTAAAAAATTGAATATTTTTAAATAAGAAATATTTGAACAAAACATTAAAATATAATAGCATTTAAATTATAATTGTTAGTTTTTAAATAATATAATTTACTTTTTAAAGCAAAAAAAGAAAACAATCGTAATTATTATATTAATAACAATTTAATACTTTGAAAATAGAATAATTATCAATGAAATTCAAATTAACATTAAATTATTATTTTAAATTAATTTTTTTAAAGTATTTTAATTATGTATTTATTAAATTAACTTTCTTAAATAACCATCGACACTAGAAAAGCATTTATTTTCATTTATCACTCTATTCCACGTAATTACACCTTTCACCGCTCAACGCACACCGCTCAAGCCTTTCACCGCTGACCGCTCAGCCATTCACCGCTCCCCGCTGACCGCTCAGCTATTCACAGCTCATCGCTGAACGCTCAGCCTTACACCGCTCACCACTAACCGCTCAACGCTGACCTCTAACGTCTCCGCTCACCGCTCAGCCTTTCACCGCTCACCCACTCACCGCTCACCACTGACAACTCAACGTCTCCGCTCACCGCAAAACGATCACCAATCACCGCTCACCTCTCAACGTCTCCGCTCAACCCTCAGACTTTCACCGCTCAGCCTTTCACCACTCACAGCTGACCTTATTGTAATTTTTATATAAATAACAATTTAATTACAATTTAATACTTTGAAAATAAAATAATTATCAATGTCATTCAGATTAACATTAAATTATTATTTTTTATTAATTTTTTTAAAAGTATTATAATAATGTATTAAATATATTAACTTTCATAAATTAACCACCGACACTAGAAAAGCATTTTTTTTTCATTTGTAATAATTACACCATTCACGGCTCACCGCTCTAGCCTTTCACCACTCACCACTGACCGCTCAGCCTTTAACCGCTCACCGCTCAGCCTTTCACCGCTCAACGCTCAGCCTTTCACCGCTCACCGCTCAGCCTTTCACCGCTCACCGCTGACCGCTCAGCCATTCACCGCTCACCGCTCAGCATTTACGGCTCACAGCTCAGCATTTCACCGTTCACCGCTCAGCCTTTCAACGCTCACCGCTGACCTCTCAACGTCTCCGCTCAACCCTCAGCCTTTCACCGCTCAGCCATTCAACGCTAACCGCTGACCTTTCATCGTCTCCGCTCAACTCTCAGCCTTTCACCGCTCAGCCTTTCACCGCTGACTTCTCAACGTCTCCGCTCAACCCTCAGCCTTTCACCGCTCACCGCTGACCGCTCAGCCTTGAACCGCTCACCGCTCATCTTTTCACCGCTCTCCGCTCAGCCTTTAACCAATCACCGCTCAGCCTTGCACCTCTCACCGCTGACCTCTCAACGTCTACGCTCAACCCTCAGCCTTTCACCGCTCACCGCTCAGCCATTCAACGCTCACCGCTGACCTCTCAACGTCTACGCTCAACCCCCAGCCTTTCACCGCTCATCGCTGACCTCTCAACGTCTCCGCTCAACCCTCAGCCTTTCACCGCTCACCGCTGACCGCTAAGCCATTCACCGCTCACCGCTCAGCATTTACGGCTCACAGCTCAGCATTTCACCGTTCACCGCTGACCTCTCATCGTCTCCGCTAAACCCTTAGCCTTTCACCGTTCACCGCTCAGCCTTTCACCGCTCGCCGCTGACCTCTCAACGTCTCCGCTCAACCCTCAGCCTTTCACCGCTCAGCCATTCAACGCTAACCGCTGACCTTTCATCGTCTCCGCTCAACTCTCAGCCTTTCACCGCTCACCTTTCAGCCATTCAACACTCACGAACTCACCGCTGACCTTTCATCGTCTCCGCTCAACTCTCAGCCTTTCACCGCTCAATTTTCAGCCATTCAACACTCACCGCTGACCTATCATCGCCCCCGCTCAACCCTCAGCCATTCACCGCTCACCGCTCAGCCATTCAACGCTAACCGCTGACGTCTCAACGTCTCCGCTCAACCCTCAGCCTTTCACCGCTCAACGCTCAGCCATTCAACACTCACCGCTGACCTTTAATCGTCTACGCTCAACCCTCAGCCTATCGCCGCTCACCGCTGACCGCTCAGCCGTTAACCGCTCAACGCTCAGCCTTTAACCGCTCACCGCTCAGCCTTTCACCGCTCACCGATCAGCCATTCCTTTCTCACCGCTCAGCCTTTCACCGCTCACCGCTGACCTCTCAACGTCTTTGCTCAACCGTCAGCTGTTGTTGTTGTTGTTGTTGTTGATATTGATTATGGCTTTGGCAGGACCATTCAGCCAAAACACACTCACCGCTCACCGCTTAGCCATTCACCGCTCACCGCTCAGCCATTCAACGCTCACCACTGACCTCTCAACGTCTCCGCTCAACCCTCAGCCTTTCACCGCTCTCCGCTCAGCCTTTAACCGCTCACCGCTCAGCCATTCAACGCTCACCGCTGACCTTTCATCGTCTCCGCTCAACTCTCAGCCTTTCACCGCTCACCGCTGACCTCTCAACGTCTTCGCTCAACCCTCAGACTTTCACCGCTCACCGCTGACCGCTCAGCCTTTCACCACTCACCGCTCAGCCATTCAACGCTCACCGCTGACCTTTCAACGTCTCCGCTCAACCCTCAGACTTTCACCGCTCACCGCTGACCGCTCAGCCTTTCACCGCTGACTTCTCAACGTCTCCGCTCAACCCTCAGCCTTTCACCGCTCACCGCTCAGCCTTTAACCGCTCACCGCTCAGCCTTTCACCGCTCACCGCTGACCTCTCAACGTCTCCGCTCACCCCTCGGCCTTTCACCGCTCACCGCTGACCGCTCAGCCTTTAACCGCTCACCGCTCATCTTTTCACCGCTCACCGCTCAGCCTTTAACCGCTCACCGCTCAGCCTTGCACCTCTCACCGCTGACCTCTCAACGTCTCCGCTCAACCCTCAGCCTTTCACCGCTCACTGCTCAGCCATTCAACGCTCACCGCTGACCTCTCAACGTCGCCGCTCAACCCTCAGCCTTTCACCGCTCACCGCTCAGCCATTCAACGCTCACCGCTGACCTTTCATCGTCTCCGCTCAACTCTCAGCCTTTCACCGCTCACCGCTCAGCCATTCAACACTCACCGATAAAACGACCTTTTATCGTCTCCGCTCAACCCTCAGCCTTTCACCGCTCACCGCTCAGCCTTTCACCGCTGACTTCCCAACGTCTCCGCTCAACCCTCAGCCTTTCACCACTCACCGCTCAGCCTTTCACCGCTCACCGCTCAGCCATTCCTTTCTCACCGCTCAGCCTTTCACCGCTCACCGCAGACCTCTCAACGTCTCCGCTCAACCCTCAGCCTTTCACCGCTGACCGCTGACCGCTCAGCCTTTAACCGCTCACCACTCAGCCTTTCACCGCTCACCGCTCAATATGACCGATCACCGCTGACCGCTCAGCCTTTCTCTTCTGACCGCTCACCGCTCAATGTCACCGCTCACCGAAGGCTCTCACGAACTTGTCTGACGAAGTAACCATCACAAAAGACTCTCATGATCTTATTCTCACAAATAAAGCCCTCACGAACTATCCTCACTAATTTTTCATGAAAAAAAACCCTCACGAAAGATTCTTACGAAATTATTCTCACGAATAAAACCCCCACGAAAAGGTTTTTCCGGCCTCTGCCCTTTAATAGTTGTGCATAGGGCACCCATTTTATATTTAGTGGGTGTAACTTTATTTTAAAAATCATCAATTGAATGAAGAGTCATTATGACAAGAAATAACTAAATTGTTGTAAGTCATGCAACAGTTAAATTGGAACGGCCGTTTGATAAATAAAATCAAGATTTAAATTGTGAAATGCTTTTTTCTTGTAGTGCCATATAAAGTCTTAAGTCTCAATCATTAATGGTGGTTCTGAAGGGAATTGTAATAATTTAAGTTATGAATTTAAAAATTTAGGGGCATGAATGTGTCACAGTTTTTAATAATTTTTTTTTTTTTATTTTACTGCTGTTTGTTTCTTTTGAGCTTGCGAGAGAGAGAAATGGTCTCAAGGAGTATCATGTTGTGAGCAGGCGTCTGCTGGAGCTGTGGTTGGGTGGCACCTTCATAAAATTAATATAATTTGAAGGCTGCCTGCGCCGAGATGTCAACGGCCAGCAGCAGATTTCGGCTGATAGGCGCGTCTGGCTTTGATGGCGTGCAGGCCCCAAAAATCTTTCTCGCTCGCTCTCTTTCCGACCGACCGATTGACTCGGCGGCTGCAGCCGACGCACCCTAGCCTCTCGCGTTAATTAAGGCAGACCGAGTGGAAAATTCGCACCGAGGCTTTTCGCCGCCGCCTTAATTTTGGGCCGGGCGACAAAAATCTTGAAGCTAAACATAGAGGCTTTTTAGTTGCAAAGTACGTGTCTTTAATGATTCATATTCATCCGAGCAATTACTGCCCCAAGTACATTATACGTATATTAAAAAATTATCAATTTTGAATCATAAAGAGAGTAAAATTATTGTTAACAACAAATCAATCATCATTATTAAATTTAAAGTAATTGGATATTTAAAAATCAGAATCAAAAATTTTTAAATCGCAAATTTTGCTAACTCACATTTTTTCACTTAGTTATTGATTCTAACACTAAATCCTAAAAAAAATTGACTGCTTTATCAAGTTAATTTTACTTAAATACACTTAAAATACATTACATACTTGCAATGTTTTCTAGGAAGTTATTGTGAACTATTATTTACTAATATTTTATTTGCAGTTTGATTTTGAAATGATTTATTTTATAATTGTTTTTCTTTGGTCAACATAATTAAAAAAATTATAATTGTTTCTGTTTTTTTTTTGTCCGAATGCTATTTTTTAATTGCAAAAAAAAAAATTGTTAACGATGAGCGATGAGTTTGTGGCCAAAACGGCACCACCTATAACAAATAATTCGCTAAAACTTCCCAGATAAAAAATACCTCATTAATCGCATCAACTTTGGTTTAAAAAAAAAACGGATAGTTTTAACGAGAATATAATTATTGCTTCAAAAATTGACTCCTCTTGGAAAAATAAAATTTATAATTATCTTTTAAACATATTATTTATTCTTCTCGGACAATATGAATATAAATTTTAAAATTGGAATAGAGAAGGAAGTCATAAGCAAATGTCTGCTGACACGGCCGACACCAAATTAATAGCACGAAAAAAGAGTTCCATGTAATTGTGTTTTTCGTTTAACACAAAGGAAAAAGCAATAAATACGAGATTTATTTTAAATTAAAAAAATCTCATTTGATGTTTGATTGAAGATTGTAAGAGGACGCTAGTTGTTGCATTTGCAAATTCAGAGGGCGTCTTGACGGTCGAGAAATCGGCAGCAACATTGTAGAAGGCGGCACCGATTACCTCTGCTACAATGTTTCCCCACCATACACTGCAGCCCCTCTGGCGCACTCCTTAGTTTCGCTCACTTAGCTCTTGGGGAAAATTCTAAGTTTAGTCGAGCTATGGGATCTTTAAGTGAAGTGTCTTCACGAACTTGAATGATCATTGGATACTGCACAAAGTGTTTGATTCTCCTTACATTTATTGAAATGTGATTCTAGGAACCTGTGAAATCTAGTTTATTTTCGGCGATTCAAGTGCGTCATTGATTTGGTGTCCCAAACAAGGAAATCCTCCAAAAAATGATCAAACTCTAAAATTTCTACAAAAATTGTCTTCTGTTCTTGTGATGCCTAAGTTTTCAACATTTGGATACTTACATATTATGGACGCTAATTAACTTGATGGATATCAATTCTGAAGGTAAGACAATCATTTCATCTTCAACACTAAAAGGTCTTCAGTCAGTTTTTTATAAAATATACAATGCACACTTAAATTAGATTACATACAACATTATTTTTTTTTTATACAGTCCACTCCGTTTATTTGTACTATTTCTCCAAACTCCAAACAATCGCAGCTGAATGCGACAGATTAATTAATGATAAAGTACAATTGATGCATGCATCGTTTTGTTGTGATTGAGTGATGGTGTAATTTTAGCTTGCCCAAGTATTAGTGTAGTAGTATCAGCGGAAATGTTGAGTTCTCTTGGCCACAGAACACCCTAATTGAAAACAATTTATCCCTAGTTAGGTCGTGGGCCTTTGTCATAGCGCCAGGGCTGCGTTCGAAGGGCCTAACGTGGCTAGTGAAGCTTATCTCTAATTTTTTTAGTTCTTTATTTATTCAAATGAAATTTTTAATAAATATTATTGTACCGCATTTCTAACTTATAATTCTTATTTATTTTTATGTTTGGTTAGACGTGATTCTAATCCATTTGTCCTTTCCAATAGATTGGTTGTGGAAACAATATACAGAATAGTTGAAATTATCCCGGAGTTCGATAAAGACAAACTGGAATTAATTTTTATAATTCAGCTTTTTGTTATATTCGTGGTGAAGAGAGAATAAAATGCCTAGGGATTCTTGTTTTTATTAACCTATTTAAAAATGTAATTAAATTCGACAGACTTTTTTCTAGTTGCAAGAAAACTATAATTTTCAATTGGCAGGAAGTAATGTATTATCTCTCAACCTTGCGCATATTCAGTATCATATTTTGAGTTGAAAATAATACAATATGACTTGATTAGAATAAATAATAATAATTTTATGTATTCCACAGTTTCTCCAAAATAGAATGTATTGTGTCAAAATTTCCTAATGAAAATTTCAAAATTAAAAAGTTTTGGGTTTTAAAAATAATCAGATCTAGTTAAGTCATAATTATTATGATTTAATATGGAAGTGGCAGAATAATCATTATTTTTGCAACCATTTACGAGTCGAGCTTAGAAAAATACCTTGTTCATTTATAACCTTCTCGGAATTAAAAAATAAAAATAAAATAAAAATTACTAAAAGTAAAACTGTTGAATCATATTAAATTTATTTCAAACGAACAAAAGATAAAATTTTATTAATTCATTTTATGATCAGATTCTATAATTGGTTACAATTTTGAGCAAATCTGAAAAGTGTGAATACAAATTGTTAGTAAAATTAGTGGCACAAAATTAAATTAAATAATCACAAAATACACGACTTCGGCGGCTGTATGAAAGTTATTTATGCGGTTCCTCCTTTTAGCACCCTTTAAATCTTAATTTTTTATTAAATATGAGTTCTTATATAAAACGATTAAATATATGATTCCTCATAAAAGTTGATTCAAATTACAAAATAGGCAGAAAATTAAATTTTTCTCCAAATTCTTATTATATATTTTTTATAATTATATTTTTATATTTGATTTGACCTGAAGTTCACGATCATAAAAACATTTCAAGTAAATTAAATATCGAGCAATGATTTAAAGAAATCTTTTCCCACAATTAATGAGATATTTTTTCATCGTTGAAGTGTTTTATATAATTAAATAATTCACCAACGTCAATTATGCATTAAAAAAAAAAATGGTTGATCAATAAGTGTCTCGTAGACACGCACACGTGCCGAGTTTTTTTTCGTCTACGAAATAGTAACAGAGCAAAAAGCACCTGTTGCGTCTAGACAGCCGCTCTCCCCCTCAGAATTAGCGCGCGCAATCGCCTAATGAGCTAGAGACGCCACCTGGGTATCGCTTTACCCACAAAAAAGGGTCAAGATTCCGCGCATTCTGCCTTGTCTAGGCGAAATTACGCGCACATGTCGTCGCTGGGGCATCCATAGAAATCGTCAAAGGACAACTTTGTAAGGCCGGGTGTGTATCGGGTTGACATGATCGCGCGGATTAAAATTTTCATATGCAAATTTTTCGCCGAGCGTTTTTTTTTTTTTTTTTTTTGCGGCCGACGGCGAAACCCGATACCGCATACGTCGTCTTTTCGGTTCTCAGCCGCGCGGCATCAAAGGATCTGGAAGGAGGTTTCGGCGCACACTACACTGCACTAATTACCCTGCGCGATTTTCGGGCGGCGCTGATGCGTGTGTGATTGGAAAATGAGCGTCGTTTTTCAGGGCAGGGGTTCGAGGCCCAGCGAGACACACCGCCGAGCTGCCGGATGGCAACAAGCTAATATAGAGGTGGGTGGGTGTCCGTGCAGGCGACAAATTTGCAAAAGTGACTCGCCTTGCCACTCATGTCGCCATTTAAAAAGCTCGAGTAATTAAATCTTAATTAAATACAGAAAATCATGTTCTCAATCTAATGTTTTTTCTTCTGTAACAATTGGATGGATAAACGATAATAATAATTATTATTGGAGTGAAGGGATTGGGCTTTTTACTTGTTGTTAAAATGGTTTTTTTTATTCAAAAACATAACAATTTTTACGCCAAGAATAAAGCGCGATCTCTTCACTCCCATGATCATCTCCTCAAGTGTCAATTTCTTAAAAAAAAACATATTATTCTGCTGTTTATTTGTCCAAATTGTTATACGAAAATTTTACATCTCAAAGAAACCACTTATTTATTTATGTGACTGCGATCCAGAAAAAAAGAAAATTTTTTATTCAATTTCTTCATTTAATTTAGGATCTTAAGCAAAGATAATTATTGAAATTAATATAAATTTTTATCACAGATTATTTATTTCAAGAAAAAGTGGAAAGCCTCTCAAAGGGACAAAGTCCATAGCGCCGGTTTTTTGGGTCAGGCCAAGAATAAGTGTCTTGTCGGTCTGTGCCCTTTTTGAATTTGCGGAGGGCCAAGCTCAATCTTTTAATTATTTAGGTGTTTGTTATATATTTATCGCCAAGTTTTGTGGTGCTTTGGGCAAAAATATTTAAAAATTCAACCCTTTAAATTTCTTCAACCTTTAGGAAATTTTAATTACAGTGAATTCACAACATTTTCAGCTATTCTTATTAATTTAGTAATAATATAATTATAATGAACAAATGAACCAATAGCTTTCGGAAATTGCTTGATATTAGAAATGTATAATGAACGCAAAATTAGTTGAAATTTTAGTATTGCAATAATCAATTTTGCCTAAAATTGTAAAAAAAGGCAATGAATATTTTGGCACGGAAAAAGGTAGCATTGCTTAAAAAATTTGAATAAAAACGTTCTAAAAATAAGAAGCAATTATGATTTCAGAATATTCAGAATACATCATGTTTGTTTCTCCTTAAATGTGACACTGTTAAGGAGCTTAATTTTTAGAATCAATCCCATATTTTTTAACAGGAGTTTTGAAAGTGATAACAATTCTTAGAATTTCTAAAACAATATAAAATATCAAAATTTTATTAATTAAGTATCAAAAAGTAAGATAAATAATTTAACGATTGATTAGATGAAGCTGATAAGGGCAAGAAAATAGCAAGGCAACATTTTAACACACAGCAACATGTCGCACTGAACAGTCTCGTGTTTGATAAATTGATAAGAAAAATAATTTTAGCCTCGACGAAATCCAAATACAGAGGTGCACTGTTGTGAGGAGCTGCTGCGTCCGTTTGATGCGCGCGACCGTCTGCAAAAGTACATAGACATATGTAAAATGCTTGTACATAGAGAGACGGAGAACGCAGACAGCAAGTATTAAGTACAGTGAAATTCAATGAGACCCTTTTGTGCGCGCTGCCGATCAAACAGGCGGAGAACGAGCGAGCGAGCGAGCGTCGCGAATAAGAAAAGCAGCGACGACGCGAAAAAGTAATTAGCGTGCCGGGCACTCTCTCTATTTGCGCCAAGACAATGCGAAAATCGAACCGCGACGCTTTTCAATCAAAATCAGAACAATTTGCCAACATGTCCTCTCTGAATTTGGATTTTCGCGAATTTTTTGCGCGTCGTCTGGCTCAGTCAAGACTATAGTGACAGCCTGCGAAAATCCAATTTGCCACTGGATTTCGTGCGACGCCGCGCGTGCGTTTCTGTCTCGCTGCGTTTTCGAATGAATATAATAATTACACCAACGGCAATAAAACGGCGCAGCTTCCCGTTCGCCGCACAGACTCCGGTCTCGTTGCAAAGATCATTTTATTGTGCTGACCTTTGAATCATGGATCAGCCCGCCAGAAGTTGCAAGCAGCAGCTTATCTCTCCGTCAATGTATTAAAAAGTAGTACTCTTTGGACCCCTGCTTAGTTGCGATAACTTTCTGCTCGATTTTTACACTTAACAATTTTTGGTCTTGATTCAATACCTAAATTTGTAAATCTCTGCTGTCGCAGAAACCAAATTCGAGGTCTTTTTGCATCTCGTCGTCGCGAACGATCATCATCAGCGGCACAGTGCAAGGCTTTCTCGTGCCAACATTTTTAATGAGTTCTTGGGCTCCGCTATTCCAATAGTCAATTAATAATTTAGAAATAATTGGAGTTAATATCAAAGTTTAAAACTCAGTTTTTTTTCTTCTTAAAATTGCATTTCTCTCAGAATTAGTTTGTTACTTTTTTGGCTGGATTTGTAATGAAGAAATTACATATTTACATATTACTCGTATTTACTCTAAAATGAATTTTATCATTATCGCTTTTATATTGTATTATGGTCATGTTGTCACAAAAATAAAGCATCTCCCAAGTAAATCACAAAATCACATTTCTAATTACATGTTATTCATAGATTTGGAAAATTCTTTTTCAGAATAAACCTTATCCGTCAATTCTAGGGCAGCGTTAAGCAATTTATATTGAAAATTTAAAATAATAACCTTCGCAATAAAATAAAAAAAATTATATAACAGAAATTAAACTATTGATAATAAAACATGTTATATATATATTTGTACAAAATAGTGCTTAGTAAATCTCTTACAAATAAAATTTAAAATTTTATTACATAACATAAAATGTGAGTGAAAATCATAAAAAAAAATTAACGATAACATCCTGTGTTTTTCTTACTCCAAAAAAGATATAGAAAAACTGAAATAAAATAAAAAGAGGATTATTCCTAATTGACAATTTTTTTTACATTTTTTTAATTAGCGTTTAACTTTAACTTCATTTTGATAAATGACAAAAAAATTGCTAGTGGTTCCAAAAAGGGCACCATATGATTGATAAACGGCGTGACGGGAGAGCGCTGTGGATTTTTTGCGTTTCCTGTGTTCGAGCTCAAGCGAAGAAAAAGGAGTGCAAGCCGAAGAAGGGGAATCTGTCTCTCCTCCGCGCTTCAAGTTTGTTCCACGAGGCACGTTATATACTTACAATGTTGGCAAGCGAGAAGCCCAGTTGTTGAGGGGGCCTCAGGAGAAGGTCAACGATTGCGGCGCACCGCGTCTGAGCAACACTTATTTAATTTAATATTTAAATAATCTTAACTTGTGCGTTATGTTTTATTTGAAAAAAAAAATTACTAGAACGACTTGAAAATTTCAAGCCTTCAAAATAAGGTAATATTTCCAATTTAAGAATTTAATTGATTTTATTCAATTTTTGATCTTCTTTGGTGCCGATTTTGAACTATTTGCTTAAAATCAGATATATTTATATTCATAAATGCGTGTGTCTGACTGAGAGAGCACTAAATCAAACTGAAAAACTTTTGCGATTTTACCACTCGTACTTTTTTTTTGCTAATATCTGATAACGGACCCCTCCCCCCCCCCACCTACATACCCCTTCAGTGCCAGCGTCTCCTCTTCTGACTTTATATTATGCAGCTTTTGCCGAAGTTCACGTCACGTGTCTTGTCCAGTACCACTGACCCTGGAGAGCGTGAAGTGCAAATTTGAAATCAATCAATGCGATCAGAACAGAAATCGGCCCTCGCCAACTTCAAGCTCTCTTTTATCAATTTGCTTAAGAATTTTATTAATTTGTCAAAACATGCAAATTTTAAAATTAAAAAATGATTAGCCTCCTTTTTAAATCTTTTTTGACAATCTGTGTGAATCATTAAATGTAAAAAATTGATTGCGTCGTCAGTGTTTAAGTGAGAAACATTGCCTAGGATTTATTAATTCAACTAAAGCAATATGCACAATCACAAATTTCAAAATTTATCCTACATTTTCCTGGTTCCCCAGAATTGTATAAAATTTTAAAATAAAAGCGCGAGCGTCAACATAAACATAATAACTCTTCCCGGATGGCGAACTTTTAAATTACAAATTTTACGCTCTCCACCTGCTGCACTGATGTTATAGTAAAATGTAATTAATTTTCTTTTAAATCTTTTAATCGGCAAGCCAGTAAATGATGAATCATTAATGTCTGAGTATTTACAAATATAGATTATCGTCATATCCCTCCTTTTCTATTTTCAATTTTTGTACCGAATTTGTCAGAAACAAATTTGAAATACTCCTTAGTAAAACCAGTAGTAATAATTATTCCTGCTTTTTATTGTATTATGGCGTGAAATTAATGTAATCAGTATATAAATTCCAAATCATATAATTTTGTAAAAATTAATTTTATAAACAATTAAAACTCCAATTTAAAATTCTCGATAATAATTTTAAATTCACTTAACATTTTTTATTATATAAAAAAATTTTTAAACATTTAATCAAACTATATCTGTTGGCAACGGAAAAAAGTGCATGCCGGCTGTGAGTATAGCTGCTCTGTCTGGGGATCTGGAGGCAGAGATAAAAAAACGCGACTTCCTCTCAGCTCGCTATGAAAATTTGCGAGGCAGCCAAGCTTTCTGGCCAACGGTGTTATTTATTTGTGCTCATGACACCCGTACGTGTATTGAATATAAATACTCAATTTGACAACAATTAAATAATTTTGGCACACAAAGAACAAATTAATGAAACTTTTTTACAAAGATTTGAATGTATTTGAGAAAAAACCCTAAGTCTTTTGTGCGTCAGCCCGCAAGAAATTAAAAAAATTATAAATTTTTTCTGACTTGACGTTGATGTTAATTCCCCTCACACACTTGTTGCTCTCTCAGCAGGCAAAACTCACGCCAACGACAAAAACATTGTGGACTATGGATTCCGACAGCACAAGTGAGCCCGCCGAAGGTGCGGATAGTGCTTCATGCTCGTCCTCGTCGGACAAGTCACCCGGACAGTCGTCCCGCGAGACTAGATCAAGCGTCCGAATGCCACCACGTTGCGCACGTTGCCGCAACCATAACTTGAAAATTTCTCTGAAAGGGCACAAGCGGTTCTGCAAGTTCCGCACGTGCCCTTGTGACAAGTGCAGGGTGACCACCGAGCGACGGCGCGTCATGGCTGCCCAGATCGCCCTCCGAAGGGCGCAGGCCCAGGACGAACAGTTCGGCCGGATAAGAACCGACCCCCTGCTCGAAGTCACGGAACCGGTGCCCAGAAGTACCGCCTCTCCCTCTTCTTCGGCAGGGACTTTGTCCATCGTCACGCACCCTGACCCCGGGTCACCCCCTATTAGCCCCCAGGTGGTAGCAGACGCGGCCTCTACAAACCCCACGTCTGCCAGCTCGGCTGATGTTGGCGCTTCCACCTCTAATGCAGGTAAGAATTTTGCTTTTTTACATTTTTGTAAAAAAAAACAAAATATTTAAAAATGATGTGGATTATTATGTTTTGGTTAATTATTTGGCGAAATAAAATCATAAAAGCGCTGTGCAAATACAATTGAATTCCTGCTGAAATTTTTGTAGCGGCACCAGCAGAGATTATAGAAAGTGCAGAGTTCCATGAGCATTTCTTCTCGGAACACTTTGGCCTCCTCAGGAATGGTGGGTTAATTAAATGTACCCTCAAGATTTTCATTGCAATAATAATGTGATGCAGGTTTTTTATATTCATCAGATTCACTGCCTGATTCAATTTAATTCTGGGTAAATTATTTAATACAAATTAATATTGAAAATATTTCTGAAGTGTGTTCCATTTTGAATTCATTTATAAAAGTAATATTGCTAATTCTACGCAAGTAGAAAAAAATGAAAATCAAAAGTGACATGGTCACAGCGGCGAGCCCACAATTGTAACGGGGTACATGAAATTTATTAAAATATTAAAAATTAAATATTTTGCATGTTACTGGAGTTGAAATTCGGCTTTTCCTCGTTAGGTTCGAAGTCACATGAATTATAGCTTTTGATAATAAGATTCTTCTTAGAAATAATTCTCAATTTATTATTAATATTGTTTATTCCACTCGAGCCAGTGAGGAAATTGAAAAAAAAATCATAACTAGCGTAGATCTGTTCAAGCGCCGGCCATCAAAGGCTAAAGAGAAAAGGCCGCCGCGATGAACCCACAGCTACAAAAATTGAACGGCAGTGATGATACTGATGATATTGAAAGAAAATAATGTACTCAAATGGGCGGAAGATTAATTTGAAATAGAAAATAAATTTTAATTAAGTATTTTTATTAGCTAAAAAAAAAATCATAAAAATTAAATAGTGTAATTAGCAAAACCATAACACAAAATACAAAATTACAAATTAATTTATTTTATAATTCATCTTCAATGGAATTTAATTATGAAAGGTTAATAATTTTAAATTGGAATTGAAAATATACGTGGATTTACTTATTAAATTAAAATGTAAAGGAATTCATTAAAATTGCGTTTTTAGAAAATTGACCGGAAATATGTACATTAAAAAATTAAAGAAGCCTACACCCAAAAAACACTAGACCCGAAGCCGCACTTACTTGGAGCGATGAATTCTCTTCAATAGAGCAGCCACCGCTTTAACAATAAGAAATTTCCCATAACATTTTCTAGAGCTGTCACAGATCTTAGCTTCTTTGGGTGTAATTTAAACTTAAAAATTTATAAATTAGTCTGAGAAAATGATTTAATTTACTTTCAATGTGTAAACGAATCAATTAACCTTCTTCAATGATATATAAATAAAAAAAACGTAATCATGTGTTCGCAACTTTGAAGTGTTCTCCACTCCCCACTATTCCCCCTCCCCTCCCTTACTGAACGGTCTTAACTCGGCAAAGCTCACTTGTGTGTGTTTCTGCAACAGAGTAAGACACGAACATTCTTCAGACAGCACAGAGGACACATGGACGCCGCGGACAGCGTCTCGCATTCTTCTGGAAGCTCCTCCAATTCGAGGCCGCAGAGAAAAAAGGCACCCCCGCGATGCGCCAATTGTCAGAACCACGGTCGGAAGTCCCTTCTGAAATGGCACAAGCGGCGCTGCAAGTTCCGCACGTGCCGTTGCACCAAGTGCACGTTGACCACCGAGCGACGGCGCGTCATGGCTGCCCAGACCGCCCTCCGAAGGGCGCAGGCCGAGGACGAACGAATCAGCCGCAACTGCCTCAGCCCTTTGCCCGAGATCCCAGAACCGGCGTCCCCAAGGTTCTCGCCGCCCCAAGACAATTCGCCCAGAAGCGGCACCACTTCTTCTCCCTCGGCAGGAACATCGACCAACGGCAGCGTCATCGTCGCGCACCCCAACCCCCGGCCCAGGTCGCACTCGATCAGACAGCTGATCGCAGCAGACTCGGGCTCATCAAACCACGTGTCCGCCAGCATGGCCTTTGCACCCGTCCACAGGGGCGCCTCCACCTCTAGAATGGGTAAGAAATTTTTTTCTCCTAAGAATTTTTTTTTACAAAAAACAGTAAAAACTGAAATGTTTAAAAATGTTGGATAATTATAAAATGTTTTAAAAATGCTCAAAAACATGTTTTTTCAATTGATGAAAATTAAGAATTTTTCATCCATCCAGGGTTTTATTCCTTTTTTGTAATTGAAGATTAAAAATAGCTTTATTAAATGCTACTTTCAGTCACTTAAAATAAAATCTGTATGATAAAATTTTTAAATAAATAAATATTTAGCTTTTCAACATTGGCAACATTTTTTGGAAATTTGGTTTTTGCTTAAAAAGTTGTAAAAGTCTGTCATTTAAGTCTGTTTTAGTCGCTTTAGCCGGAAATTGAAAAAATAGTCGATTTTAAATAGGTGCCAATCATAACAAAATCACTTGATTCATGCAGAAAATGCATTTCTGTAACGTTCCGAGCGACGTGGATAAAAAGTTTTTTTTTTTTATTAAAGATATTTTTTTTATGATACAAGTCCAGCCAAGCTCGAAAGCTTATCGGCTGGTGCTCACGCTAACTGACGAGCGATTTGCTCGCCAGCTATACAACTAACAAAATATGCACAGAATTATTACAAACAAGTGTGTCACAAACAAGTGTGGACAAGCACAATTTTTTATATTCAATTTAACTTCCGTCTTGCTTTGTAAATTTTTTAATTCAAGTGGCAATAAATTCCACAAACGTGGCAAAATGAACTGAGAAGTTCGATCAAAATATTTGTTCTCACTCATCGGTTCTATTACAGGATTTTGTCGTAACATTCTTGTGTTATGCGAATGGGTGTACGGTACACCATGGTCCAAATCATCATATTTCTTAATATTCAGATTTTCCATATTTTTTTTACGAAACGCAATTAAAAATTTAATTAGTCCGCGCCATCCCACACGTGAACTATAATGTTTTTTTATATGGTATAATTATACATATTTCGGTCAAATGACTCCTCTCAATAATTTTATTTATGGATTTATGCTGCACCAAGAGCATTGCTTAAATATTTCTAATTTTTAAGATTATTTAGGGGCTCGGCAGCTGCCTTTACTTACTGGAATCGATCGGAGTGAATGGTTATAAATGGCAAACGGACAGATTGTTTAAAATAATTGTAATGATTAACACAAATAGAAAACATAATTATAAAAATTCATGATTATTTTCTGTAAATATTATTCACTTCAAATAACAAGGTGCAGATTTCAAAAATTTATTAAATTTTAAAATATTTTTACTGTTGTTTTTTCTTTCTTTTTTAGAAACATCATTTAGAGCGGGACGTAAATGATATAAAATTCCAAATTTTACATTATATTTTAAGCATAATTTTCAATTTATGCATAAGATAATAATGATAAAGCCACATGTGCAGTTGGCTACACTGCGTCAGCGCGGTACTCTTGACCGCTCTGAGGCCGCGGTACTGTTGACCTACAACCATATTTTGGTTGTTTACACATAACAAGTTTATTTCAAAAATTTTATCAACCGGCAATACATTCCAGAATTTAAATTGATTTTGAATTGTTTGCTTGTGCTTTGTGGAACACATTTTATACAAAATTTTCTCTTGCAGCGATTTCAGAGCTGTGAGATTTACAGCACCCCAAGCTGTAATTCCGTAATTTAAGTAAGAATGAGCTAACGAGAAATACATTATTCTCCTCACATTATAGGGCATATTAGCTTTCAGGTAATTGAACTCACAATAATTTTCTCAGTTTTTTTTATATATACTGTAAATGAGGTTTCCAAGATAAATCCTGATCTACAATTACTCCGAGATATTTTGTATCCGTGACTTGCTTTAAATTGTTGCATTTACAATTAATACAAAAGGAATGCAGACAGTCGTAATCATGACAAATTATGTTGAGCACTGGGATGACAAAAATGCATGCAAATGGTTTATTTTGTGTTTACAAAAAATCCGTTATCATGGCACCATTCAACAGTTTTATCAAATTCGGATTGAATTGTTAATTTGCAATTGTACTGTTTGAATTCGTTGATTGACTAAAAAACACGAGCCTAATTATTATGTTTCGATCAATTATTTGGTGACTCAAGATACAAAAATCGGTGCAAATACAATTGAATTCCTGCTGAAATTTGTTGTACCAGAGAAAGTGCAGAGTTCCATGAGCATTTCTTCTCGGAACACTTGAGCCTCCTCAGGAATGGTGGGTTTAATTAACCCTCAAGATTTTCATTGCAATAATAATGTGATGCAGGTTTTTTTATTCACCAGATTCACTGCCTGATTCAATTTGATTCTGTATGATTTAATACAAATTAATATTGAAAACATTCCTGAAGTGTGTTCCATTTTGAATTCACTTTAAAAAAAAGTAATATTGCTAATTCTCGTCAAGTAGTTACAAAAGGATTTGAGAAAAATGGAAATCAAAAGTGACATGGTATCAGCGGCAAGCTCACATATATTATTGTTACAGGGTAAATGAAAAAAAAAAATTGCATGTAACTGGAATTGAAATTTGGCTTTTCCTCGTTGGCTTTTAAGTCTCAAACATCACGAATCAGTTTTCGATAATAAAATTCTTCTACGAAATAATTTGCTATTTATTATTACTATTGTTCACTCCACTCAAGCTAATGAGAAACTTGAAAAAATGACACGACTAGCACACAGATCTGTTTAAGGCGTTCAAGCGCCGGGCATCAAAAGCTAAAGATCTAGAAACGGTGGCCGCGATGAACCAACATCTACTAAAATTGAACGATTCAATAGCGATATTGAAAGAAAAAAAAATGTGCAAATATATTTATCAGTTTAATAATGCTTGTATTAAATAATGTAATAAGCTAGACCAATTAGAATATTATAATTTATTTAAAATTAAATTATATTATGAAAGTTTAATAATCATAATTTGAGATTGAACATTGCTACAGATTACTTA